ACTCCATACCCATTAGCAGCCGTGCTTTTTTCTTCCTTTCCCTCAACCTCTGGCAGCCACTTTACTTTTTGTACTTTTCCATGGATTTGCTTATTCCAACTTTTCATGGAGGGAGTCTGTTGGCACAGCGGTTAAAGTGTTCTGCTGCTACCCAAAAGGTTGGTGGTTCAAACTCATCAGCTGCTAAGTGGCAATTCTGTTCTATTCTACAGGGTTGCTCTGAGTCAGAGTCGACTCAACAGCCGTGGCTTTTTTTTTGGTTGGATAGGTCATAGAAATGAAATCATACAATATACAGCCTCTTGTGTCTGACTTCTTTCATTGAAGATGATGATTTCCAAGGCTTATGCTGTAGTGACTATTAGCAGTACCTCATTCTGTCTTATGTGGTTGGTCCACATTTGGTTTACCCATTCATCAGTTGATGGACATCTGTCCTGTTTCCATTGTTTGGCTATCATAAAATGTTCCACTATGAACACACATGTGCAAGTTTTAGTACGACTCATGTGTTAAATTTTCTTAGGTATATACCTAGGAATACAATTCCTGGGTGTGGCTCTTTGGGTTAATGTGCCAGACTGCAAAGCCATTTGAACTGCAAGGTTGGCAGTTCAAGCTCACCAGCTGCTCCTCGGAAACCCTATACAGGGTCGCTATGGGTCGGAACTGACTCGATGGCACTTCACAACAACAACATGCTAATTCTGGAGTTCTGGTATGGTGCTGTGGGTTAATGTGCTGGACTGCAAAGTCTGTTTGAACCACAAGGCCGGTGGTTCAAGCTTACCAGTCGCTCTTTGGAAACCCTATACAGGTCGCTATGAGTTGGAACAAACTTGACTGCACTTAACAACAAGAACATGGGAATTCTGATCTAAATTGGAAGTGATGGACTACTTTACCAAAGGACATGATGTTTGGGGAAAGTAGAAAAGCAATTGGCTCTAACTGATTGACACACAGTGACCCCAGGAGTGTCAGCGTAGCCAGGGTTTTCCTTGGCTGATTTTCAAGAAGTAGGTTGCCAGGCCTTTCATCAGAGGCACCTCCGAGTGTACTTGTCTCTGCAGCTTTTCCGGCATCAGTTGAACATGTTATGGTTTCCATCACTCTGGGGAGGGTCAGCAAAAATGAGGAAACCTCTCCATAAGATGGATGGACACACTAGTCACACCATGGTCTGAAACACACCAGATACCATGAAGAGGACACAAGACTGGATAACTCTTCATTCTGTTAACACAAGGTTGTCATGAGTCAGAGCCAACTTACTGGTAACTAACAACATGGTATTTCTATGTTTAACCACCAAATTATTTCTAAAGCAGCTGCACCATTTTACAATCTTACCAGCAGTGTACAAATGTTCCAATTTTTCCACATTCTCACCAACACTTGTCATTATCTACCTTTTTGATCATAGCTATCCCAGTGGGTGTGATGTGGTATCTCATTGTGGTTTTGATAAGGATTTCCCTACTGACTAATAGTTGTTGTTGTTGTTAAGTGACTAAGAGTCAGTTCTGACTCATAGCAATCCTGTATAGGGTTTCCGAGGAGTGGCTGGTGAACTTGAACCACTGATCTTGTGGTTCAAACCAACCTTGCAGTCCAGCGCATTAACCCACAGCACCACACCAGGACTCAGTTGACTAATTCAAATGGCCGACCAGCTGACTAATGGTAATGAGCATCTATTTCATGTGCTTGTCGGCCATTTGAATCTCTTCTTTGAAGAATGTCTATTCAAATCCTTGGCCCATTTTTAATGGGCTTGTTTGTCTTTTTACTGTGCAGTTTAGTTGCTTCATATTACAGAGGGGAAACCGTAGCTCCAGAAAAGGATGTGACTGAGCCAACATCGCTGGGGTTGAGATTGGAACTGGCAGCAAGTTGGGGTCACCTCTTGCACCTCTGCACCCCCTCAATTCCATGAAGCTATTTTCTTGCCCTTATTTTGGATCTTCCTCCCAGACCCATCCCAAGTCCTATCCTTGCATTTAAAAGGGCCCCCCAGTGGAAGAGTGAGCCGGAAAGGCAGGGGAAAGAGCAGTTCTGAGGAACCAAGATACTCCTCTTCCTCTCCAGTCACGCGGCCCTGATTGACGTGGCCCGGGAAGAGCGGGCAGCCCGGCCCTGCGGTCAGAACCTATTTATACTGACTGGGCCATGTTGCAAGCTTTTCCTGGTGGCAAGAGGAACGTCATTGTGTGCTTACCTCACTAGAAATGCTGACACATCTTCCTCTCTCATTTTGCTAGGATGGCTGACCGGGCTTCTTCACCTAGGGCCACTCTCTACTTCCTGCCCACTGCTGCCCAGCTTGCGCTGGCTGAGAGTTTCCCGCTATCTCTGGGCCCATCCTGCAATATCCCAATTGCCTGCAACCCTCCAGCCATGCACTTCTCTTGCAAGCCCTTCCTTGTCTTTGGTAACTGGCCCCCTGGGCTGCACATGGCATCCCTATTGAGTGCTCAGACTACTCAAGTTATACAGCCCGATTTGAAGGTGTCTCTCCTACTTCTTGGCGGCCTTTTAAAGGGAGGAGAGAGCATGGCCTTCCTGGCTGGTGGGAGGTTGGAATAAGGTGGAAGCACATGGCTGCCGGAATGAGTGGGGAGGTCAAGCAGCAGCTGCAATCTTTCTGAATATGTTGCTATTGTTAAGTGCCGTCGTCAAGTCAGTTCTAACTCATAGCGACCCTGTATAGGGTTTCCAAGGAAAGACTGTTGGGTTTGAACTGCTGACCTTGTGGTTAGCAGTCCAGTGCTTATCCTGCAGCGCCACACCAGGACTCATGTGTGTCATTACAAAGCAGAGTGCATCAAGGCATCTCCCTGACTCTCAGCTATTTGTGTTCGCTTGGTTGGGAGAGACAGAGATGGTGTCTCACTCACTCACGAGGAACTGTGGTGACCTGCAGCCAGCCAGGCCCTGTCCTGCCCAGAGGTGGAAGCAGCAGGAGGTCCTGCCACACTCACCACCCCTGGGAGGGCTTTTGTTGTTGTTACTGATAGCCGTCTTTCAGCTGATCTCTCATAGAACCTTATACACAATGGAATGGACCCTGTGCCATATCTATGATCAATTGTCGACCTGATCATTTGTGATCTGTAAGGTTTTCATTATCAAGTAGATCACCAGACCTTTCTTCCTAGTCTCTCTTAGTCTGAAAGCTTTTTAGGCCGCTGTTCAGCATCACAGCAATACCAAAGGCCCCACAGGGGTGGTGGCCGTGCATGAGGGACAACAGCCATGAATTGAGCCCAGGTCTCCCACTTGGGAGGTGACAATTTTATCTACCTGGGATTTCTGTGCGTTTTGTCCTATTCAGAGGTAGGTTGAGGCCATATCTGACTTGACTAAAAACAGTTGGAGGTTCCCTGGCTTTCAGGGGCCCCTGCATGTTTGACGTAGACGCCCTGCTAAGGGTGTAAAAAACCCTCCAGCCAGTCCTGTGGAGTCCCAGCATTTTGCTGCCCAAGTTTCTCTGGGTAGCATATCCTCACTAAGGTGAGCCCAGGCAGCCTGCCTGCAGTTCTCTACTCCCGGCTGTTGCAGGACTTAGAAGAGACCAGGGATGTAAAATCAAGAAGGATTTGGGTTTGACACAAACCCCAGAAAGAGTGCTGTGGGGGTGGGTGGGGGGATCCCCCAAGATGAGGAATTCAGCAGAAACAACATTCTCAGGATGAGAATCCAAAACTGGTCCATGGGAATGGCGTTGGGGGTGGTGTAGGGATTGGGAGCATTATGTTGGGTGACAGGGAGTGGGTGGAGTAAAGGCAGCCTCATGGGGTGGGTGTGGTTGGCACAGAATAGGCCCAACAAGAGCTTATTGAGTGAGTGTGTGAAGGTCCACAATGGTGTCAAGCCCGGATGCAGCTTTGGTGCTTCTAAATAGGGCAGCAGGGGCCGGGTGGGCCTGAGTGTGTCCAGCCTTCCTCCTTCCTGGCCACCTTGATTTCTAGCCCAAGTCCCACAGGCCCACAGTGATTCCTCAGCTGGAGCAGCTCAGGCCTCCCCACCCTCACTCCTCAGGTCTCTCCCAGCTAATCTCCCAGTCATGCAGAAAGAGGATCCCCTTCCTCACCCAGCAGATATGCCAGCCCTTGGTCTCCTGTCTGCTCTTGCCCAGGCTCCAGTTTACCCCATGGTGAAGTAGCAGGTTGGCGAGCGAGGCACTGTCTCCAGGGGCCCCTTCACATTGACATTCTGAAGTTTGAGAGAAGCAAGGGCCGCCCCACGATCGATCACTATCTTTCAGAGAAAGTGAAACCTGGTCCCCAACTGTCACCACAGCGACTCAGCTTCCCTCCCCGGCTTCCCCTCTGAGTTCACAGCTTCCCTCGTCTACTTGGCTCCCAACCCCGCCTCCCCCAACAGCCAATACTTGGAATTAGACTTTTAGCTTTTCCTTTCCCTTCTAAGGTTTTTTGCCTTTTATGTCCATGACAGCAGCAGCCCCATGAGGTGGGTTGTGAAATGTTTTCTCTTCCCTGTATTACAGGTAGGGCCTCTGAGGCCCAGAGACACTGAGTAACTTGCCCCAAGTCACACAGCACATCAACATGTCTCCTATTATTTCTCTTGCTCCCAGAGCCTGATTCTCTCTAGATGATGTGTTGGTCAAGAAGAGATGGGAAGGCTGGCTGGGTAAGGGATGGTCCATTTGGGATAAAGTAGACTGCTGAGCTGGGGGCATGAGGGTTGGGGGGTCACACCACAATTTCGGGGCTGCCAGCCAGAGTCTGGCTCCGTGCCCAGAGCCCGGTGGTTTCCGCTCACAGATGTCCCAACAGCCCCGGCAGGAGGGCGGGAGGGTACTCAAGAAGGAAGACGTCTCGCTCCCCTCAGCCCCAGACCACAGTGCTCTGCAAGCGATGGCCCCTGGGCCACCAGCTGGGCTGTCTGGGGGCCTGGCTGGAAGACTCTCTCCTTTCCAAGGCATAGCCCCTCTCAGGTGACGTGACACCCTGTGCTCCCCACTTGCCCAGGAAGACTGAAGCTGCGGTTTGCATCATCCCTGGGCGTGGGGCTGACCTCGAAGAACAAATTCGAAGAAAACAGGAGGAGGAGCAGGCATGGACCGCGCCCAGCGCCCATTGGCTGCCCATGGAGACTTTGGTTTTTGGGGTCATGTTCCCAGAAGGCCTGCCTTCCCCCCTCCCCCTCCCCACCCACCTCACGAGGTGTTGGCCAATCGCCCCAGCGGGCATAAAGTGGCGGCCTGCCCGCAGGGCTCCCAGGCGGGAGCTTGTCACCCCTAGCAGGGAGCTTGTCACCCCTAGCAGGCGAGGGCCGGAGCTCGGGCACCCAGCATGCGGGTACAGCTCACACAGAGGATGCTGCTTGGTGAGTGCTTCCTTCCTCCTCACCAGTACCCACTGGTGCTGGTGGGGAGCAGGCAGGCACCCCCTGCTCTCCGGGATCTGGTGGGGGCGGGTGGAGGAGGGTAGGCTAAGGATGCTGAGAAGGGAGGAAGCCAAGAAGTCAGGTCAAAAGAGGGGCCTGCTGAGAACCAGGCACCCACAGGATTGAGAGGGGGCATCAGAAAGGCTTCTAGGAGAAGGTGATGTAGAAGCAACTCTGGGAGCAAGGAAGTGAGGAAAGGCTGGATGGGTGGTGGGATCGGGAAGCAAGAGGTGGGGAGGTGGGATGGACAGAGGAGGAAGCTGCAGAAGTTGCCAGGAACATGGTGCAATTCAGAAGGGGTGGTGGGGCCACCTCTGAGCAGGTGAGCTGCATCTCCCCTCACCACCACCCTTGGGGGTCTGGGAGGATAGAGACAGTCAGCCAGCCCACCCAATCACATAGTACAGATAGCCACACCCACAGGCCAACACACACACTTAAGCCACATGATGTCACCAAAACCTCAATCTCACCAATCTGGGAACCCCCGCAAGCAGGCCTCACCCCACCATTCACAGTGTTCCACAGCTGTAGAACAGCTGGCACAGTGCACTCACATGGAACACCCCAGCTGGGCAGCAGGCAGCTGGGGAAGTGGCCCCGCTGGGAAGTCCAGTCCCTCAAGCTCAGTAGCTAGTCTGCTTGGGGAGCAGGATGGTTCTCAGGAAGACACGATGGTGTCACTGCTTTCCGGGCCCTTGCGCCACAGGCCCCTTCAGACCACGTGGCTGCCGGTGCCCTGTGGGGGATGGGAAGCGGCTGAGCCATAATTGTGCCTGCTCTCTGGAATATTCTGATAGTGGGCCTGACAGTGGAGAGAAAAGAGGGAGAAGTTGGGAAAGCAAGGCAGCACCTCTGTGAAAGCAAGAATGTGGATGGATGGTCCCTAACATTCTTTCCAGATGGTTCTGAGGACACAGCTTATGTGCCAGGCTGTAACTGGACAGCCTGCCTGAAGTCCCCTAGTGCCAAGGGAACTGAGGCCCAAGGGAACTGACAAGGCAGGGTTCAAGGGCTGGGTCTTGGACCCAGGGTCCCTTAGCTCAGACTTAGGTTGCCTGAGGTCAGCAGGTGCTTCGGACATGTCAGGCTTCACAACCTCCTTTCAAAGGCCTACTTGGCAAGTCTCAGCCACCGTCCTTTCGGGAGAAGTATTGGTGAGCCCTGTTGGTGCTCATGCACACATCATGAGCCTGGGGTGGAGGGGTGGGCCCTCTGAGCCTCTTTGAGCCCCCTCCCCTCTGAAAGTCACCCCAAGGATCCACCTGTGACTTCCTTGCTAAGGCAGGTGACACCCTTCTCTGCTTCAGGTCTGGTCCTCGGACTGCTGTTGCTGTGCATGGCAGCCATGGCCAGCTGCCCTGAGGAGTACAAAGTTGTTCACCAGCTACGGCAGCAGGCGAAAATCATGACAAACACCAGCATGCTCCTGGACCCCTATGTGAGCACCTGCCTGCCCCCTTGTGGCATCTAAGACCCAGTGACTTGGAGGGGGGGTAGGGACAGGAATGAGCCCTGGGAGGGTCTGTTTCACCACCACCCACCCACCCACCCAGAGGTCCGGCACACTTAGTATGGGACAAGTGAGCAAACTGAGTCCCTGTGCTTATATCCAGGCCACACATGGCTAACTAGAGTGTGAGGCCCAAATCTAGGACCTAGTCCAGCGCATGCTCAGTGCATACTTACCTCGGGCTTTGTTCTAGACACTGGATACAGCAGTAAACAGAACAGAGTCCCACTCTTGTGAAGCTCACAGTCACCTCCCCTCCAGCCCCACATCACAATTACTTCCATGGGGTCACTGCCCCTGGCCCCTCAGCATCATTCTGACCCTGTTTGAGTGCCCTGGGAGAATTCACGTCCCTCTCGAACCTCAGTTTCTGGGTCTGCGCAATGGGAGGACTGGATAGGGAGGCAGTGAGGTCCAAAACACAGTCAGCTCTGTGTGTATGTGGATGGGGGCTCCAGAGCTCACTCCCTGATTCTTCTTTTCTCTCAGATTCGTATCCAAGGTTTGAACATGGTACACAGTAAAGATAAATGCAAGGAACATCTCGAGAGCTTCCCCAGCTTGGATACCCTACAGAAACTCAGCAGAGTGGGTTTCCTTCAGACCCTCCATGCCATCCTGGGGCGGGTTCTGCACAGACTGCCTGCCCAGCAGCCTAAAATGCCCCTTGTCACCCAGGACGACTTGGACAGGAAAAAGTTGTACTACACAAAACAATTTATCCAAGGGGCCAAGAACAACATCTTTTGCCTGGTGGTCCGGCTTCTCAATGACTCTTCAGAGTTGGCCTTGCCCACTCAGGTCAACCTGGGGACCTCCACCTCACCCACTCCCTCTTTAGGCTTCCAGCACAAGTTGGATGGTTGCCGGTTCCTACAAGGCTACCATCACTTTATGCAATCTGTGGAGCAGATCTTTGGCAAGTGGGAGGAGGGCCTGAATCGGAGTCGGAGCCGGAGCCGGAGCAGGAGACACAGCCCCCTCTTGGCCCTGCAGGGACAGGCCAGAAGGAAAAGACCTTCCAGGAAGGCCAAGAGGCCTGTGTCTAGGGGGCTGCTTCCCTGGTAGCGGTCAGGGTGTCCCTGTAAGGTGGAGGATGCTCTATGGATGAAGAAGCCAGTGCCAGGTAAAGGGTGGGTCCCCTCAGGTTCTCCAAACCCACAAATTATCTGCCACTCAAAAATGCACTTTAAGGGGTGGCAACTGGGCAGACCTGCCCTTCTACTTCCTCTGGATTGGGGTTGAGGAGGGTCAGGCCATTGCCCCCCAGCCCCAGCTCTGAGTTCCCAGCAGGTGGGGTGTCTGGGTCAGACCAGGCAGGGCCAATTTTCCATTGATTCAGGGGTCTGATGACACAGACTGACTCACAGCTGGGCTGACTGCCCCCCACCCCAGCTGCCGGAGGCCTGCGGTCCTTCCCTTCATGACTTGCAGGGCCCTTGTCCCCAAACTTCCTCCTTTCCCTGGTTGTGGTTACAAAGGGGGCAGGCAGGTCTTTTAAGTCCTGAGCTGGACTTTAATGCCTCATCGCCAGGCTCAAGCCAGACACCTGGATGCCTGGAGTATCTTTAGGCAGCTGTAGTGGGGCAGGGTATCTAGAAATGGCACTAATGCAGAGGTCTAAAGCTCAGACCCTCACTCACTGTGTCACCTTGGGCAAGCCACTTTACCTCTCTGGACCTCAGTTTGCTCTTTGTGAAGGAAGGGGATTCACAAAGCCTGTCATTACTGGGACTCTGTGACTTAGGGTGCACATCAAATTCTCTATGTAAATCAGAGCATGTATGCATATGGTTCAGTTAACTTGAGTTCTCTTACTAAAAGGAGACCTCCCAGCCACCAGAACCACCCGGTCTTGAGTCCTGGTTGCCAGCTGCTCCCCCTGGTGGAGTACTATGGAATTTCCTCATGCTGAAACTACTACCCTCCTGAAGTGTAGGGGGTCCAGTAGCGATTCCCTTCCCCTGAGGGCATGACTAATTTATCAATTTTACCAATTTTGTATTTATAAAGCTTATTTATGATGTATATTTAATGTTAATATAACACCAACATATATTTAAAATGTATATGTATTTAAAAATTTTTAAGTCCTGTGTCTCTCTCTGTTGTCACATGGAAGGGGTCTTGGTGGGTCCCTCGGTGGCAAGGCCACAAGTATTCCCAACCCGGACACTAGTCAGGAGATCCATTGTTTGTCCAGAAAGGAAACTCACATGTCCCAGTTGGCTGGGGACTCTGTCTAAGGACGGGTCTCCAACACAGACAAGGTGTTCTTAGGGCCGGTTCCCCTCCCCTGAGTGTTTGGGGTCAAGAGGTATCATCATTGAGAGTAAGAACAGCAGGATCAAGGCTGCTGTGTATGGGTTACATATGACAGTGACTCTCTCTTGTCCCTTTTGAGGTCAGGGTGAGCGTGTCTGCATCTGTGAACATTCTGTGTCTGTGTGTATCTGGGCTTTTCTCTGCAGGTATACCTGCATGTGCAAGTGTAGATGTATGCTTGTGTGTCAAAGTATACTCAGGAATGAATATGTTCATATGTTATCCTGGAGGAAAATTGCAATCCTTCTAGGCATAGAGCAGTTAGGGAACCTAGAATAGGAAGCACAGCATTCAGAATCGGTCATAATTTGTTGGGTTCAAAACACCAGGTCAGCCCCATCCCATCTGTCTGAATGACCTGGCTAATAACCTAGCACACTGAACCTCAGTTTTGTAATCTGAGAAATGGACAGGATTTTAGCAGCTGCTACCTCAGATAGGCCTGTGAGAGTGCTCAAAACCGCTTCCTGAAGGGTCTCAGAAGGCCATCTGTCCCGCAGAAGACTGGGCTACCTCCCAATGCCCAAGATCTTTCCCTGACAGGAGCACCTACAGGTCAGTGACAAAGGACCCAAAGAATCGGGTGGACTTGCCCCCCTATCAGCTCCTGACCACTTCCACTTGCTGGGGTTGGGGACAAGATGGCAGCAGGGATGTAGGAGAACTCCCCTTGTGCTGTTCTGTGAGGGGCAGAAAGACTGTTCTTATCCCAGGCTGCTCCTGCAGGGTCTCCAGCTCCTTGCCTGGTGGACCCCAAAGGGAGAAATCACGATATAGGTGGGTTTCAATAGATAGAGACTCCTTCCTTGAGATGGGTGTCTAAAGGCAGCTGAAGGATTGAGCAGATCCAATGTCCCCAATATTCCCCAAGAGGGGCAAACATCTTCCACATGTCTCCTGCAAGGTACAAATACCAAGACTCTCCGATTCTCTAAATGAGGACTTGGTGGGAATTCATGTACTAGTGTTTTGGTTTTTTTTTTTAAGTTCCAGGACACTGAGGGAAGCCACCACATAATAGGAAGTGGCAGGTAGAAGACAAGGGTAGGGGGAAGACAAATAACTGTGCAGGGAGGTTTGGCCCAAAGAAGCTACCAACTTTTCACTGAGTGCCCACTGTGTGCCCAACACATTTTCTCTTCTCACCTCACTACAATGCTCTGTGATAGATATGATCCACTTTGCAGATGAGAAGTTTGAGGCTCACTGACTTTGAGTGACCAGCCTATATTCTCCAACCAGTTAATGAGGGAGCTCAGGTTTTCCCCAGGTTCCAGCACTTTCCTGAATCCCTGCAGCAACAGAGCATCTGAGATTGTAGTGAGAGTGAGTTCAGCAAAAATAAAGCAGATGATGAAATAGTGTGAGAGTTGTTGGGAGGCAGGGTTGGCCCAGGCAGCTCCTGGAAGAAGTTATGTTCACTCTGTGACCTAAGTGGTGGATGTGCAGGAGAAGGGGCAGAGCCTCCAGGTGGTTGAGACAAGTAGGACACAGGCTCCTGGCACCCACACATCAGTGCATATAATGAATGACAGCATCATCTCAAATTCACTGCCTTCAAGCTGATTCTGACTCATAGCTAAACTGTCTAGGGTTTCAGAGAGGTTACAGGGGCAGACAGCCTCATCTTTCTCCCATAGAGCAACTGGTAGGTTGGAACTGCTGACCTTGCGATTAGCAGTCTAGTGCTTATCCTATCCTACAGTGCCACAGAGCTTTTTTGCCAAAAAGATCTAGAAAAGGAAAGTATCTTGGTCAAGGTCATACATGGAGTTAGTGCAGGACTGAGGCTAGAACTCTGGGCCTGTGGAGCCTGACCAGTGGTCTTCCTCTCTGGGCTCCTGCTTTGGGCTGTTCTATCTGACTAGAATGTTGTTCTCTGTCCTTTTTAGCAAGCCAATCTCCTTGTCAGTTCTTAGCAATTCCTCCTCACCTGCCCTTGGTCTGGGTTCCACCTGGGGCTCTCATCTGGATGTTGGCATTGCGTCTTCATCAGTGTGTCTTTGCAATAATATCTATATCCCTCCCCACTTCTGGCCTGGAGGTGCCTTGTTCCCTTCCCTATATTTCAGCCGCCAGGGCAGTGCATGGCACAGTGAGGCACAAGCCAAGCAGACACGGCCCACAGGGGAGGACAGAGGCAAGTGTGTTGAGAGAAGTCAGGCGGGGAGAGCATGATCAATTCCACCCCAGAGTTAACCTTCTGAGCTCCATGCCCTACCAACTGTAAGAAGTCAACACATACTCACTTCTGCCCTGGCCAAGCATGCAGAGGGATGGGGGCCGGGAGGGGCATGTTTCTTCCGATGGGACTGCTGGGAAGCTGTGGGTGGGAGGTGGAAGCCATCAAAAGCCGGGTGCATTCCCAGAGCGGAAGGGGAGCTGTGTTGTGGTGGGTGCTGAGGTTGCCCACAGGGAGGGTAGAGGTTGGTTTGCAGAGGAGGGCTGGGAAGCCCAGAGTGGCTGCTCCCCAGCCCCAGCCCTAATGCCACCCCTGCCAACTAGGCCCCTCTCCAATCCAACCCCCTACTCTGTGGATAAGCAGCAGAGGAGGTACCCTTAGAACTGGGGTGGTACCCACTGACAGGAAGCAGTGTAGAGCAGTCATCTCTGCTCTGTCTTCTGATAAATCCACAGCTACAGTAGCTCTAGACCTCCTATCCAGTCCAGATTCATAGACTTCTCTGCTGGGGGTCAAACTTGCCCACCCCCTGCACCAGTTATCTGTTCTCTGCCAGTCTTTCTTCTCTCCCCATAGATGCCTAAATCCTGTGGTTTCTCCCACTCCTCATCTTTAGCACGTGCCTCCTTTTCTTCCACGCTGGAAAATTCCTTCTAAAATCTCCCCTGCCCCTGAACCTTCAATGGCTCCCTTCTGTCCCATTGCTTACAGAATCAAGTCCAAATCCTTGCTGGAGTATGCATGGCCTCAACCCTCTGGCTGAACTTCTCCAGTTCCTCTCTCCTTTTTCTGCCCATTCCAGCGGGCTCCCCAACACATCCCACACATGCTGACCCCCAATGTTTGCACTGATTCCTGCCCACTTTTCCCACCCTCCCACCCTGAGACTGCCTCTTCTTTGATTCCCATGGTGCGGAAGACTTGGGGATGAGGGTGGGACAGGCAGATTTCCTCCCCTCAGCACTTACAGCTAGCTGCCTGTGGAGCATCCCTGATGCTGTGGGCAACAGGTAGGTCATTTCTGGAGTCTGCATTCGCCAAAGGCAGACGGAACCCACACATTGCTGTTGTTCATTCAGCCTGCCCTGAGGTATGACTACCCCATGCACAATGGGATGAAATACTGCCCTGTCCTAGACCATCCCCGTAGGGTTTTCATTGGATGATATCTGGAAGTAGTTTACCAGGCCTTTCTTTCTTTCTAATCCTTCTTAATCTAGAAGGTCTGCTGAAATTTATTCAGCATCCTAGCAACACATAAACCTCCACTGAGGGGGTGGCTATGCATGAAATACTGCTATGGATTGAATTGTGGCTCCCACCCCCAAATATCAGATCCTTTGCGCTGGACTGCAAAGCCGGTTTAAACCACAAGGTTGCTAGTTCAAGCTCACCAGCCGATCCTCAGAAACCCTATAAAGGGTCTCTATAGGCCGGAACCAACTCGACGGCACTTAACAACAACAAAACCCTCATATGAGTTGTAATTCCAAACTTCTATGCATGTGGCTATTTGGGAATGGGTTGTGTTTGTTGTATTAGTGAAGCAGGGTGAGTGTTT